ATGCTGTGGAGATGTTTATTTTATTTTATAAATTAGCAACAAAACTAAAAAAAACTGTTTTTGCTTTGTCGTTATGGGGTATTGTGTGTAGATTGATGAGGGTGGAAAAACCATTCAATCAATTTAGAATAAGGCTGTAACCTAACAACATTTTGAAAACGTCAAGGGGTCTGAATACTTTCCGACTGGCTCAATTCAGTCTTATGTAGCAAAATGTGAAATGCTGTTTTTTAAATTGGATAAAAGTAGAGACTCAGAGCTAGAAAATGGTATATCATACACTACAGTTGAGGAACAATGGGAAAGTAATTATGCTTTGGAAGTTGATAAACTTGTAACCCCACTTTTGAGAAAATGGCCCTTGAATGTTTTGGTACACGTTCTGGCGAGCTCTTCTTTGTCTACACCCATTCAGCATCGTTCACACCCTCTTAAGCCTTAGCCCCACCCATCTCTTTAAGGATTCAAGTGAGGCCATGTGCTAAACAGAGTGAGTATGGTAGTGTACTAAACAACCAAAGATTTCAACACTAAAGGCTGGTTTATACTACATCTATCGACATGTCTGCCTGGCTCCCGAGTGGCGCAGTGGTCTAAGGAACCTTTGCCACTAGAGATCCTGGTTCGAATCCAGGCTCTGTCGTAGCCGGCCACAACCGGGAGACCCATGGGGCGGCGCACAATTGGCCCAGCGTCGTCCAGGGTAGGGGAGGGAATGGCCGGCAGGGATGTAGCTCAGTTGGTAGAGCATGGCGTTTGCAATGCCAGGGTTGTGGGTTCGATTCCCACGGGGGGGCCACTATGAAAAATAAAGAAATTATGTATGCACTCACTTAACTGTAAGTCGCTCTGGATAAGAGTGTTTGCAAAATGACTCAAATGTAAATGTCTATTGTCCACCGACATCAAACGTATCGTTGTCGTTTTGAAAAAGTATAAACACAAAAACTACAGGCTGCATGACGTCAGCAGCCTGGTGGTCCAAAATAGCATAACTGGTGTATTTTAACACAAAAAAAAAATCCATTTAAAAATTAATTTAGTATATGTCAATCCAGCAAACCAAAAGACAAAATAAACTTTCTTAACAATGTTTTGGTTAATTTCTAGCTTGGTAGCTAGCTAGCTAACGTTAAGTTAGCTGGCTAGCCAGTTCAAATGATGACCATATCATATAGCTGACAACGTCTTAACTTTAGCTAATTTGTATTTATTATTACACAACAAGATCATTATTTAAAAGTTAATGGCGAGCTAATTACAGAAAATAGCTCACGGTTGTGAGTGTGATAAAAATAAAAGCAGGGCATTCTACCGGATAATTTTTTTACTTGGATACTATCTTGTTGGCCTAACGTTATATCCTAATTTGACTTTGGTGCAGGTCATGTTGTTCTTCACATTACCGTCTCTGGTAACATACACACTATATCAAATAAAATCAACGTTTATTTGTCACATGCACAGGATACAGAAGGTGTAAACGGTACAGTGAAATGGTTACTTGCATAGTGGAGTCTTTTGTTTAGACATGTAGCTAACTAGCTAAACAATGAACCATAATCCCAACTCATAAAGTTACTACCCTGCATGAATCTGCAGGAAGCTAACGCTAACCAACTAGGTTCAATGTTCGCTAGCTAGCGAACATTAGGCTATACCTAGCAATGCAAATGGCTCTGACATACAAATAATAATACTACACACATCATACACGTAATGTTAGCTAGCGAGCCAGCCAGCTAACGTTAGCTAGCTAGCTAACAGTACGCTTTAACTTGCAATGAAAACAACTTTCTGAGAAAATTAGAAATATATCATATCTGAAAAGCTAGACTCTCTTACCTGTATACATGGATGAACGCTTCTCTCTCTCTGTCACGGATGCCATGGTTGCCCTTAGTTTGAAAATGTAATCTGGAGACAGATGTTTTATACAACAGCCTTCTGTGTGTTCTCTTTTCGACTCCCTCTGCATATATGCAATCAAACGCCAGAATGTTCTCCATCCCCTTAGCTATCATACTCTGCTTCTACTGGACATTCCACTGATATCAAAACTCGGTCCTCCAGAAAGTGGAGAGCATTAGTAACACTTTTGCAGTTCTTTGTGATATCTTTCAAAAAAGCTGCATTAGAAAGGATTACCTACACATACTGAGCAGCTCATGTTATAGACAGAAGCATGCTACATGGCAGACCAATCCGAACAAATCTCTCGGCATGTCCAGCCCATCCATTATCTCAGCCAATCATGGCTAGTGGGAAGGTTCCTGTCTTTTTCCGTGGCTAAACCCATTAGGCTCATTTAACAATTTTATACATATTTACAGATGAAATCCAAGTTTGTTATTAAGGCACATAAAAGTTCACATGTTCCAGAAGGCATTTCTGCCAAAAGACACATTTTGATTAAAAAAAAAAAAAACGTTTACGTTCAAATGCCTCTCCTGTGAAGTAGTGAAGCGCGACATATGCCTTGTTTCCTGAAACAAGTCACATATACACTGAACAAAAATATAAATGCAACATCAGGGCCTAAAATTCACTGCCACTGTGGCAGGTAGATGAAAAAATCTACCAGCCACTCAGAATTTTTACCAGCCAAAATATATTTTTGCCTAAATTATATTTAAAAAATGATGACCATCCTTTGTAATGTTTCTAAAACAAGAAATGTATTATTAAGAAGTAATGTGGTATATTGCTCAATTTAATGAAATGTTTTGTGACCCGATTCTTTTACCCCAAATATCAGATGAGAAATAATGTTCAGCTATGAAACAAAACAGCAGAAATACTTTGAAAACAGCTACGTCAGCATTTTTTGCTAGAAATCACAACTCGCATATATGCGCATACTTGGCTTTTGACTCTATTTTTTATTCACAGATTCAAATGTAATGCTCGCACTATAGAGCCCTGCAAATTGACCACCCGCCAACGTGGCTGGTGAAATAGACATTCTTACCTGCCAATACCTAAATCTACCCGCATTTGGCGGGTGTTAATTTTGTGCCCTGCGACATGTAAAGTGTTGGTCCCATGTTTCATGAGCTGCAATAAAATATCCCAGAAACTTTCCATACGCACGAAAAGCTTATTTATTTCAAATTTTGTGCCCAAATTTGTTTACATCCCTGTTAGTAAGCATTTTCCTTTGCCAAGATAATCCACCCACCTGACAGGTGTGGCATATCAAGAAGCTGATTAAACAGCCTGATCATTACAGAGGTGCACCTTGTGCTGGGGACAATAAAAGGCCACTCTAAAATGTGCAATTTTGTCACACAACACAATGCCACAGATGTCTCAAGTTTTGAGGGAGAGTGCAATTGCCATGCTGACTGCAGGAATGGCAACCAGAGCTGTTGCCAGATAATTTGATGTTAATTTCTCTATCATAAGCCGCCTCCAACGTTGTTTTAGAGAACTTGGAAGTACGTCCAACCGGCCTCACAACCGCAGACCACATGTATGGCGTCGTGTGGGCGAGCGGTTTGCTGATGTCAATGTTGTGAACAGAGTGCCCGATGGTGGCGGTGGGATTATGGTATGTGCAGGCATAAGCTACAGACAACGAATACAATTGCATTTTATCGATGGCAATTTGAATGCACAGAGATGCCGTGACGAGATCCTGAGGCCCATTGTTGTGCCATTCATCCGCCGCCATCACCTCATGTTTCAGCATGATAATGCACGGCCCAATGTCGCAAGGATCTGGAAGCTGAAAATGTCCCAGTTCTTCCATGGACTGCATACTCACCAGACATGTCACCCATTGAGCATGTTTGGGATGCTCTGGATTGACGTGTTCCAGTTCCCGCCAATATCCAGCAACTTCGCACAGCCATTGAAGAGGAGTGGGACAACATTCCACAGGCCACAATCAATAGCCTGATCAACTCTATGCGAAGGAGATGTGTCGCGCTGCATGAGGCAAATTGTGGGCACATCAGGTACTGACTGGTTTTCTGATCCACGCCCCTACTTTTTTTTAAAGGTATCTGTGACCAACAGATGCATATCTGTATTCCAGCATCATGCTGTGGGGATGCTTTTCAGCGACAGGGACTGTGAGACGAGTCAGGATTGAGGGCAAGATGAACGGAGCAAAGTACAGAGAGATCTTTGATGAAAACCTGCTCCAGAGCGCTCAGGACCTCAGACTGGGGCGAAGGTTCACCTTCCTACAGGACAACCCTAAGCACACAGCCAAGACAACGCAGGAGTGGCTTCGGGACAAGTCTCTGAATGTCTTTGAATGGCCCAGCCACAGGCCGGACTTGAACCCGATCGAACATCTCTGGAGAGACCTGAAAATAGCTGTGCAGCAACGCTCCCCATCCAACCTGACAGACATTGAGAGGATCTGCAGAGAAGAATGGGAGAAACTCCCCAAATACAGGTGTGCCAAGCTTGTAGCGTCATACCCAAGAAGTCTTGAGGCTGTAATTGCTGCCAAAGGTGCTTCAACAAAGTACTGAGTAAAGGGTCTGAATACTTATGTAAATGTAATATTTCCGTTTTTTATTTGTAATATATTTGCTAAAATCTGTTGACATAGTTGTATTTATTGCAGATTACGTTTGTAACTTTAAATGTTTTATTTAACATTACTCTAGATTTAATTGTTCAGTGTTGTGTGACTGGTGATACAGTATGCGTAGAAAATGTGGAAGTTTAGTTGCTAATGGTCTACGTCATGTTTTGGCTTGAATGTTAGCTGTGTGGTTCATATATAGATGATACTCATGAAACCACCCAGATCCTTAGTTTTAGGCAAAAAATATGTTTATGCGCCAATCAGGTCATTTCTGGACCATATTTCTGTCCATTTAAGGGACACATTTTGGCAACTAGATTGAGGCCTGTGTACCAGATGTCCCAAAACATTTTGATGATTATTCTTTTGATGTATTTACCTGTTGAGTTTTAACCCTATTCAATGTTTGATATTATTCACCCTGCAGAGTAAAAGTGAGGCGGGACCTGAGATGACCTCCACCCATGTGCCGCCTCCCTCCCAGCAGCAGACGCCTCACCCTCACACACAACTCATGTTGGCAGGGAGTCAGCTGGCAGGGGTAAGCACTGGCACAGATGTAGTGTGTTGGCGGTTAGGGTGATAGACAGTAAGCATCATCTGCTTCGCTCTTGCTCTTGCTTGCGTCTTTCCAAGGTTGGAGTGAATTCCATTTCACTTCAATTCTGTCAATTCAGGAAGTAAACGGAAATTCAAATTCAAATCTTCCTCATTCCTGAATTGACTTAATTAAAATGGAATTGATCCCATCTCTGCCTCTTACTGCCTGCTCAAATGCTGGGTGACACTATTATTTTTCTCTACCTCTACTGCTTTTCCCCCTCCTCTCTTTGGGCAAACCCTACCTTCTCCTCCACCTCCTCCTCCTCTTCCTCAGCTGGCTGCCCTCTTGCCTGCGCAGCAGCAGCTGTTGCTTCAGCAGGCCCAGGCTCAGCTCCTGGCCGCCGCCGTGCAGCAGTCCAACGCGGCTCACGCTGCTCATGCCGCCCACGCAGCCGCCCAAGCCAATCAGCAGCAGCAGCAACAACAGCTGACCAAACAGGAGCAAGCCCCGCCCCAGCTCACCCTCTCTCAGCCTATCCAGCTCACCGCCCAGGTAGGAGCAGCCAGTCACGGATCAGATATGACCAGCTTTAAGTCAATCTAACGCACTAACCAACATTCATCTATGTCAGAAGTGTTTCTCTATATACTCTTGGGTGATGTTAGTTTAAAGGCTGGGGCTGTGCACATTTTGGTTCTTTGCTCATTTCTTTGCATTATATTTCCTCCAAGGGTGTGTGTGTATGTTGCAAATCAAACATGACTTGTTGACCTCTTTCTCTTTCTCTCTCGCTCCTGCTCCCCCTCTCTCTTCCTCCTGTAGGATATCCAGCAGCTGTTGCAGCTGCAGCAGTTAGTCCTGATGCCCGGCCACCACCTGCATTCTCCTCAGTTCCTCCTGCCTCAGGCCCAGGGACAACAGGGGCAGCAGGGTAAGTGGGACCTACTAAGTAAGTGGGAACCACCATCATCAACACTGTGACTTACTCTTCGCACAAAACATAATGTAGAGCTTGGCATTATGATCTAACTGCTTAGTTCTAAAACAAGTTGTAATAATACAGTTAAAATACAATAAAGTAGTGTTCATGTAATTACAATACTTTAATAGTGTTAATAGTGTTAATTGCTTCTCCGTTGTGTTCCTCAGGTTTGCTCTCGACACCTAATTTAATTCCCCTACCTCAGCATCAGCAAAGCCAGGGGAGTCTTCTAACTACTCCACCCAGGATGGGACTGCAAGCACAGGTATAGTATTATTGAAAACCACCTAAAATGTGTGTGTGTGTGTCCGTGTGTTTCTCCCCGTGTGTGTGTGTGTGTTGAGACTACACTTTAAAACATCCTGTACTACATACTTGTAAGTACAGTAGGGATCTGCCTCTACAAGCAGAAATCAAAGAGCTCTGTTGAGTCAGTGCTGGTGCATTGATCCAAACACTGATCTAATCAAAACAAAACCAGTAACCCAGAGTGTGTTTGAATTGATATACAGTTTAAACATTGCTAATGTCAGTGTGCCAGCCACCCCTCGCAATTCCACAGGAATGATATGGGTTTATGTCTCATGTACTGTAGCGTCGCCATGGTGATGGCCTCTCATCATTACAGAGGGACAAGAGCGGGGACGGCGGCGTGACCACCGGGGCCTCAGCAGCCCCCATGACCTCGGTGACCTCTGGCCCGCACGGCGAGGAGCCCAGTGACCTGGAGGAGCTGGAGCAGTTCGCCCGCACCTTCAAACAGAGACGCATCAAACTAGGCTTCACACAGGTACGCTTGTATGCATATATGTGTGTGTGTGTGTGTGTGTGCATGTGTGTGCGTGTGTGTGTATGTGTTGTGATAAAGGTCAAGAGAACCAGGAGCAATTTGATCAAGCTAGACTTCACATGGGTCAGAGTGTATATGTGTGTTTGCAGTGAGGGGGGGTCAGGAGGAGCTAGAGGCCAGAATGAAGATGACTGTTTAACACAAATTCTCTCTTCCCTCAGGGTGACGTAGGCATGGCGATGGGGAAACTGTATGGGAATGATTTCAGCCAGACCACCATCTCTCGCTTCGAGGCCCTCAACCTGAGCTTTAAGAATATGTGCAAGCTCAAGCCTCTGCTTGAGAAGTGGCTAAACGATGCAGAGACCATGGCGATAGACAGCATGCTTCCCAGCCCGAACTCTCTCTCCTCCCCCATGATGGGGTTTGAGGGCATGCCGGGGCGCCGCAGGAAGAAACGCACCAGCATTGAGACCAACGTTCGGGTGGCTTTAGAGCACAACTTCATCTTGGTGAGAAAGAGATAGGTCCCACAACAGACCCCTGGGGAACCCACTCAAATTACATTCTACATAAACCAATGACTCTGTCCCCAACAGTTTATTGAAGTTTATTTCACTTTTTTCACTTTTTTTTCATTTAAAAATATTTATCCTTGCTTGGTATTTTCTAAATACCGCTGAAACTGTTGAACGGAACATTGACAGCTTTGTGCGATATAAAATGTTTGTGGCCGGTGACAAAATGCTTGACCATGATTTCTGACCGCGTTCCCTCCAGAACCAGAAGCCTAACTCAGAGGAGATCCTCCTGATGGGCCAGCAGCTCAACATGGAGAAGGAGGTGATCCGGGTCTGGTTCTGCAACCGACGCCAGAAAGAGAAGCGCATCAACCCTTGCAGTGCCACCCCACCCCTGCCCAGCCAGCCCCCCTCTGTGATGCACAAACCCCCCTGCTACAGCCCACACATGGTATGACCCTGCACTCACCCATCCACACCCTCCCCACCATGCCTCTCATTGGCAGGCCTTTCTATATCTATGGACATGCCCCCTCCCTCTGTGACCCTGTGGCCCAACCCATCCTGCACTGCTCCACTCTCAGCACCATGCAAATGGCTACACTGTTGTATGAGGTGTGATATGTTACACACCAACCCACACGTCATCACAGTTACACCATGAGAGCACGTTTCTTCTGTCTCTCTCCTGCTCACAACCTATCCACCTCTCTCTTTCTTTCTTTCTTTCTTTCTTTCTTTCTTTCTTTCTTTCTTTCTTTCTTTCTTTCTTTCTTTCTTTCTTTCTTTCTTTCTTTCTTTCTTTCTTTCTTTCTTTCTCTCCCTCCAGATGTCCAGTCAGGGGCTGCACCAGGCTGCCACCAGCCTCAGCACAACAGGTGAGGAAATAGATTTTTTGATACATTTGTGTTTTTGTGAAGCTAGGCCACAAGTGCCAGAGGTCTAAATTCCCTTTAGTGGAAGTGCAGATGCTCAGTACCATGGCCATTGGGGCAACCTATCAATGTAACCAAATGTACTGTATAGCATTCATATTACTACTGATGGTTCTCTCTCTCTTTCTCAGTGACCAGTCCATCGCCCTCGGCGACCTGCCCTCTGACCCCCAGTGGCTCTGCAGCCACCAGCTCCGCCTCCTCCTCTATGACTCCGCCTCCACACAGCACAGCCAGCCCCGCCCCTCCCACCCTCAGTACCCACAGCCTGAACGCTGGGTGAGTGTCCTTGCTCTCTCTCTCTCTCTCTCTCTCTCTCTCTCTCTCTCTCTCTCTCTCTCTCTCTCTCAACTACTGTTCTACACTTACTCAATCTAACACTGAACAATCCCTCATACTCAACAAACATAAACACACTTTGATAGTAGACGCTGGGTTAGTGTCCCCTAATTATATCATTCTAATTCGGTGGTCTACTCTATCCGCTCTCTGTCCCTTGCACACTCAACGACTACTGCACATGTGCTCAATTGAACACTGACTCCTAACACTGTATCCTCAACACACCTTTCTGTGTTTCATCACTTTGCCAGGTTGTCAAATAAACACCAACATGCACGCTAATCAATCAGCAAGAGTACATAGCGTAACTGACATTCTGAGATTTACAGACAAGTATTTCGCTGCACACACTGTAACATCATACGCAGCCAATAAAGCAAACTTTGAGACTGGATGAGGTGATATTTACTGACTTGCTGGGAATTTATGGTATTGGACTACATGTGGAATGTCATGTCACCCCACCTGTTTTGCAGCAAATCTGAAAGTTCTCACACATATGAAAGAATATTTGTCTGCAGGCACGAACGTGTTAGTCAACCCAGAGTCAGACCCAATGCATAAATTCAAAACATGTTGTGTATCCATAACAGACATAAATGTGGGTGTTTGATTAATGAGCTTTCACTTAACCCTCTTGGTCCTTTCTCTAACTCTGCATGTGTGAATGTGTGCGTGTTTGAATGTGTGTGTATGTGCACATGGGTGAATATGGACCCATACATATTCCAGGAACACAATGATGGGAGTAAGCACAGGGATGAACCAGGCTCTCGTCAGCAGCAATCCCCTGGCCACAATGCAAGGTGTGTTAGTCTGACAAAATCTGACAAAAGTGTGTATCCAGATTATGGACGGTATTCTGACTTCTGATAAGTGCACGCAACGCTGCCTCGTGTAAATCATGAATTGATGTCAATAGGATACAATTCTGAAAAGAAGATGTCCCTCAATTTGCCATCATTTCAACATGCGATTTCAGATCAATTGAAATTGCATGTCTTCACACCATCCCATTCCATCCATATCACCACCAAGTAGATAATGGGAGTGTCGTGTGTGTCTGTGTGTATGTGCCAAGCGTGAGTTTTTCTGCAAGCTCTGACTAACTAAGCTCTCCTTGCTCTACCCACACTACTTTCTCTCATCTGTTGCAATGTCTCTCCTTCATCATCACCATCCTTCATCTCACCATGTCATCAGTTACAGTGTCACCCAAATCGATGCCCATGTATCTCTGGTAGGTGTATTCACTTTTATTATTTCTCCTCTACCTTTCTCTTCCCACATCAATTCTTCCACCTGCCTCTCTCACCGCGTCCCCTGAAACTCGATCATGGCTCAGCTCTGGCTGCCAGTGGTGGGCAGCTGCCCATTTCCAGTCTTGAGGCCGGAGGTCAGATGATCCTGGGCGGGGCTGGGGTTCGCCCCTCCCTATTCTTCAACCGTCACACCCTTCTGCCTATGGCGTCCCCCCAAGCCGGCGTGGGATTGGTCGGCAGTCCCAGGGGCGCCTCTCCACCCCCCGGCGCCAGCGGCATGGACGTCGACTCCTGCTCCGCCTCTCCCTGCTCCAGCCCTGCCTCCTTCTGCTCGTTCAGCGAAGCCTCACCGCCGCCGCTTGGCGGGGCCATGGCCGAGTGACGACGACACAACCCAAAGGATCCTATCAGAAGGAGGAGGAGGAGGAGTTTTAGTGGAGCTTTACAGAAAAACCTTGCCTTTCAACCAAAGCCATCTCTCTCTCCCTCCATTTGTCGCCTCTGCTCTCTCTCCCAGAGTCTTTCAAAGCCAAAAAAATACACCGATTGAAAGAGGAAGAAGAGAGCAAGGAAGAATGGAGAGGAGGAGAGAACAGGAGAACGGGGGAGATTTAAACCAAAAAAATGATATATCTATACAGTTGGAGAGGTGGCATTGTGGAAGGCAGTACATTTATTCCTTTCTCTGGAAAAGAACAAATGAGCTGACAAAACTGGATGAAAAAGAGGGCAGGGATGAGAACTGAACTAAGACTTTGTGTGAGAGATGGGTGGCAAGGACAGGAAAGGAAGGAAAGAAAGAAAGAAAGACTTTCAACAAGCTTCAGCGGATGGATGGAAAGAAAACCAAATAAAAAACTAGAGGGAAACACACAAAGACAAAAATGACAAACATGCCAAAATCTCCAAAACCGAAGTACCAAAAACTGAAACCAAAAAAACGGAGAGAAAAGCTTTACTTAAAAGACTTATGATTCTGATCTGTCCAGGATCAGCACATCAACCACACTCAACAACGCCAAAAACATGTATCATTTCATCGTAATATGCTCTTTTACAACGTTTATTTTTGTATTTTATATGATTTGAGCTTTGGGTTATGTCATACCAAATTAAACATGATTTGATATAGATATCTTAGTAGTGTCAGTCCTCCCACATATCTCTACCTACCTCTCTAGTGGCTCTACAGTTTCAACCTAGTTACAGTATTAAACTGTATTGTGGATTTAGCAGTCACCTCAGACTAATAACAATTAGTAACTTTACAACTTATTTTGTGGGTTATTTTCTTATTACTGATTTTTCTAATTGAATCCTCATAGTCATGACCATCGTAAATTGTAATCATCACCATTAGGGTTATTATCTTCAATATTTGTTTAATATGATGAGATATTGTTGCCTCCTTTGTTTCAGTCCAAAATTATTGACACCCTTGATAAAGATGTGCAATAATGACTCTATAAAATAAAGAATTCAAATACTGGACTATATTGTATGCAAAATAAATGGGGAAATTATATTATGTTATATGAATAATTGCTCAGAGAAAGAGATTTTGTTTAACAAGTAATACAAAAAAAATCTTTCAAAGATAGGTGTCAAAATTATTGGCACCCCTGTTTTCAATACCCCTTGTGAGGATAATGACACTGAGCCTTTTTCTAAAATGTTTTATGAGATTGGAAGACAGCAAGACAATAACCCCAAGCACTAATAAAACATGTACATATAAATGGTTAATTGACCACAAAATCAACATTTTGCAATGGCCATCTCAGTCTCTGGACTTGAAACCCATTGAAAACCTGTTGTTTGAAGGCTCAGTGTCATTATCCTCACAAGGGGAGGAAGCTGGAGTATTAAAAACAGGGGTGCCAATCATTTTGATCACTATCTTTTTTAGATTTTTTTTTATTACTTTCTCTGAGCAATTGTATTTGTATAAAATAACATAATTTATCCTGTTTTTTTTTGTTGCAACAATATAGCTCAGTATTTTAATAATTTATTTTATACAATCTTTTTTGCTCTATCAAGGGTGCCAATAATTATGGACCAGACTTTATATGAACACCAAAATGTACTCTACTGCCTGTTGCTTCAAGTACACATACATACACACACACACACACACACACACACACACACACACACACACACACACACACACACACACACACACACATACACACCAGACTACACTAGAATGTATCGAGATGTTGAACCAAAATAATCCTTTATGCCTTTCATTATATTTGTTTGCCTGTTTTTTTAATATATATAAATTCCACCAACTTCATATCATTCACTTCCAGTCAGTCACTCTTGGATACCAAAGCATTGTTTCTCCCGGCTGGAAGAGCCAGGAAACAAGTGTTCAAACAGAGACCTCAGCAGTGTCAAAACCCAAACACCCAATAACAGAGGACGACTCCACACCAAAACAAAAGTGACAGCGTCCCTCCCAGCCCCCAACCCCCTGCCCCCCATCCCTTCTGCCCCTCTCCTTTGCCTCGAAAGATGGGGTCAAAGGGCCAAAGAAAGAAGAAAGAAGAAAACAAAAAGACTGCCCAAAGGAGTCAAAGGTAAAAAGAGGATCTGTTGGAAACTGCAGGGGAAAACCGATCTGGAATGGAGGACCAAAACCAAAAAACAACCTTACCAAAACCTCCGTATGAGCGACTAAACTGAACTGATAAGAAACCAAAAACCAAATACAACACGTCGTGGACAAAGAAGAGGAGGAGGAGGCTTTAGAGAGAGGGAGGGGTCAGGCCCTGTCTGTCACAGCCTGAGACAGAGAGGCTCCCTCTTTCCGTCTCACTCTCTCCTCCCTCCTCCATTTGTGACTTCACTTTGTTCACCCTTTTCCTGGACGGAATAGCTAATGACCTCGCTGAACTGAATAAAAACTTTATTTTTTTTGTTTTTGCTTTTCATGGTCTGTCTTTCAATTGCTGTATGACTTTGTCTCATTGCTTTCTACTTATAATGGGGATGATGGGGTGATTTATTGCCTATTTTCATATCTTGTCTGGGTTCTTTTTTTGTGGTGCATTTTTCATTAGGTGGTTGGAAATAATGCTGTGAAAATATAGCTTCAAAATGTTTCTTTGATCAAGAATGTCGTGAAAAAGCCACAACTGAATACCAAAAGCAAAACTTCTTGACACACAGACATACCAAATACCAACCAAACCAATGCACAATTGTCAGAGAGGAACAGTTGAATAACTGTGTTTGTGCTAGGTTTTCTGGATAGAGATATAGAGAGACTGGTTGAGAGAGAAAGGTACTGTGCGTGCGTGTGCATTCAGGCATGCTTCCATACATGATTGCTCACATACCTGTGTGTGAGATATGGAGGGTGTGTATGTGACAGGGGAACAAAGGAGGGAAAGAATGAGTGTGTGGAAAGAGTTATTCTCTTGCATATTAACCAAACCATAAAGTTTCAGTACACAGTGTTCTGTCTAGTGTACCACAGAATAGTGTTCGACAAAGACAGGGAACTTCACACATGAAGTGAGGCATTCTTGGGCACATATAGGCAGATATTAAAGGCAACCAATGATAATATTGTGGGGAGGGGCGGGCGGAAATCAACTGAAAACCAGTTGACATACACTTTTAGAGGGAATGTATCTGTTAGTGCTTCAATAGATTTTGTAGGAAAAAAAATATATGTTCTACTGCATACTTATTGCTAATGTATAAAAGGCTGTGAAATGATCCTTGATAAAAATGTTGATGGTAATGATGACTTGATTTTAGACCAAAAGCTTTAAACTATCTCTCTGGGGATCTTTGTTTGAAGATTTGTATTTATTCATGTACGGGGGAGGATAGGTTTCTTTGCAAATGATTTGTATGTTATGAACTCTCACCTGTTTATTTATTGATTCATTCATTTATGTAATTTATTTGTTCTATTTATGGATTCTGACCTTTGTAATAGCTGGGGGTTGTGAGGTTCTATTTTGGAGAGAGGTGATCTTGAGATTAAGACAAGAAGACAAAATGCTTTAAAACACAAAGAAAAATGTCAAGCTTTAAAACAAAAACTGAAACCAAATGTAAAGACTGTTCTTGTAATGGGTGTCTTCTCAGAACCCATCTCAACTGATAAAAGCCCTAACCTAACAGAGAGGAAGAGAGAGAGAGAGAGAGAGGGAGAGGGAGAGAGAGAGACTATCAAACTGATCCATGAAATGGGTGCATTTTAGAGTAAAGTGGCCCCTGAAATGTCTTCTTTCGCTTTTCTACTTACACCTGTGAGTGCCAATAGGAGTTCAAACACGTCTAGATCTCTCTAGATGTTCATACTTTCTCCAGCTCTCTCTTTCTCTCTCTCGCTCTCTGATCCCGTCTTTCATTTCAAGGTGAGGGTGAAATCATATATACCTCATATTCTGTGATGAAAAACCAAATAGACAGAAGCTTTAATAAGACATGTGACCATGGTCATCTTGGCTCAGGAGAGGGATACAATAACGGGCCTGGCTATTGAGTTTGATGAACAAGACTTTAGAATACTTTAAAAAAAGAATAGTTTGTAAGCAGTTTCCTCTATTTTATAGGTAACACGTGCTATGACCTCACTCCTCAGAAGTAGATACACCACTCCTCTCTCCTTCAGTGGGTCTTTGATTTCTGTTGACAATGCTGTGAGGGTATTGGAGGTGTTTATGGCAATGTTTCTTCTGAGAAGGTGTGTGTGGGATATTAACATGATGCTAATACTGTACAGTATGTGTGCCTGTGTAGGGCTCTCCTGTGGTGTACCGAGAATGATACCAAAGTTAAACCACCACAGTGAGACCACACACACAAAACACACACACACACACACACACACACACAGTTAATCCATGTGTATATAAACATTCAGGAGTCTTCATAAAGACTGTAAATGCTACATAATGGTATTTACCACCCTTCATTGATATCAAAAGACATACTACTGTCTTCAAGAGCACTTAATGCTATGAAGCGATGCGCCTTGAATTGTGATCATTTTATACTGTAGTTATAAGTGGCTATGAATGTTTGTTTTATGTGCTTATTAAGAATATCCTCAACTTATAGGTCTCCATGAACTAAGAGATTTCTTTGGCCTTGAGAACACATATGTCTGAACGTCACATCACATCAAAGTGGATACAGTAAAAGAGAGAACAAACAGTCCATTTTCCCCATATGCTTTGTTTCTTTTTTTAACATATTTTTTCTACAATACAGCTTAAATCCAAAGGTAATTTCATGAGGACGGCAAAGAAAGATTTTACTAATGAAAACCTCAATAGTGAAAACCAAAGAGCTCCATCAACCTTTTTTATTTTACACATAAAAAATTCGCATTTTTCTTTTTGATGG